ATAGAACTGGGTTTTAGCTAAACCCAGGACACACCCCATGTCAAAGATCTGCTCTGGTATTGCTGCCTGTGTTTGAAAAATGAAATACATAGTCGAACGTTATTGGTGTGGTGTTCTTACTAAGGCCTTTGTTGTCAATTATTGTTCCCTTTATCTCTCATGTAAATTGAAGAATAAGGAGGCTGAAATCAGTAGCTTCAGAGAAAACAGAGAAGTAACCAGTCTTCTGTATATTTGGTGGAGAGAAATGGTAAGACCAAAATAATGCTGTCATTTCTCATCCCTCTGTACTAAACAGTTACATTAATATTATATTTTACTCTGCCAGAAATTACTGAGATTGCTCAACCGAACAAAAAGAACAAGAACTTAATTCCATTCTGTATGTTTCTCATTGACGCAAGGACTGACAAAGTAGCAATCCTCATCTTTCATTGATAGATAGCTGTACTTCTTGTATAGCTTGAGTTCATATTTGAACTGAAATCTCCTACATTTTTCCAGCACCGTATTGCAGTGGTGTGGGAAAGGCACAGGCAGTACAAGTGTGCCAGAGACAATTGGCCAGACGGCCCAGGTCCAAGCAGGAAAGAAGGTGGGAATGAGCACTGGCACTTGTCTAAGTTGCCTTGACTGTTAAACACATCAAACAGCTTTTAGTTTTTACTTACGTTTTGTTCTAGTTTGTTTGTTTGCTGGTTTTTAGTTTCCTCAAAAGGACACTCACATAAACGAAGGGGCTTCTTGTTCTTATTTTTGGCAGGTTTCCAACCTGTACCTGTATGACAGTGTGCTCATGCTGGCCAATGCTTTCCACAGAAAACTGGAGGACAGGAAGTGGCACAGCATGGCAAGTCTGAACTGCATGAGGAAGTCCACCAAACCTTGGAATGGAGGACGATCCATGCTGGAGACTATTAAGAAGGTGAGAATAGACAAAATGCAATAGTGTGAGCAATTGAGAGAGCTGTTTAGTTTCTACGTGAGATTAGCTTTCGAAGATGTTTTTGACCTCCATTCAACTTTTCCTTGATTTGTTACAAGCAAGTGATTTACAGCTACCAGGAATGATTTACAGCTATTAAACAGGCAAATGATTTATTACAAACGAATGACGCACGCTGCAGTATTGCTCCAGTGGCGTGTGTTCTACTTCTGTTGTTCTGTGGAGGCAACGTGATTAGAAGTGATACAAATTGATGTGTGCATGCATCATCATAATTTTCCCAGGAGAATTTAATGAGCTTGAGGGCTCAACCAACGATAAGGTATAAGACTTATGTTCCATTTACTACAGCTCAACTAGCTTCCTAAGTTAGTTGAGCATTGGTAAGTATCTGTTTGTGTACTGTAGCCCAGAGCAAAAGGGATCTAATTTAGCTTAGATGTCACTAACAGTTACACAGTCTTGCAGCATGTTGAGTTACTCAAATATGGATGGCATTGTGGCTTTGCAGATGCATGGTAACTTCTCGCAGGAGAGTTACTTGATCACAAATACTAATGGAAAAAATATAATTTTTTTACTACACTAACTTTAGCAATGTTCTGGAAAAAATAAATAAGTCTGTTTCCCCATGTATATTGATGAAATTGTTTTCCTCTAGTAAAATGATGAAATTTAGTTAAGTGTTATGTTATGCTCTGACCAATTCTAATGACACCATCCTTTCTTGCTAAATTAAATCGAACTTCAGTGTCATTTCAAACCTCTTTGCTCCAAACTCAAAATCAAACTCCATGATAGTTTCACAGAGAAGTTTTATTAATACTTAAAATTTTCTCTACTCTTGAGAGCACAGCAGCCATACTCTTTCTGTCTGAGTTGGAGTTCATGCCTTTTTATTCAACCCCAGAACTGAACCTGCTGCCCTTAGTTATGCAGCAAGGGCTGTTGTCTCATGGTCCACCAAAGTCCTTCTCCTTTCCTTTGCAATCTGTTTCTTGATGAAGACCTGATGGCTTTTTTTGACAATAACACAGTGAGTGTGTTAGTGCTAAAGTAATTTTTTTTTATAAAAAGTCTTTGGTCTGGCACTGTGTTTGACCAATTGAGGAACATGTAATTCCCACATTTATGTTCACTGTAAATATGTTCAAAGTAGATTTGGCATACCTTTAATGAAGAGGAGTGTTTATAAAAGCAAATTTGTTTATTTTAAAATTTCTGAAACTTATTTCCTCAGGGCCATATAACTGGACTTACTGGTGTTATGGAGTTCAGAGAAGATGGTGCCAACCCCTACGTTCAATTTGAAATCCTGGGCACTAGCTACAGTGAAACATTTGGCAAAGATGTGCGGAGGGTAAAGATAAGCTACTTCTTTCTTTTGTTTTCCTCTAAGTAATATACATTTAACTTAGCAGGAGAAAATGTTCTTCTTTAAGAATGAATATCTTACATGCTTAAAACTTGATATCTAATTTTATATTCGTAAGCAGGAGTTTTGCAAGGTGTTTACACATGAGCAGTAATGATGCAGTACCAAAACAATACTGTGAAGATATTATGGAAGAATGCAAAAATTTACTCATGTATTTTATTGATAATTTAGGTGCAATTTCTGAGAATATAAATTACCTAGATGCACAAAGATGTTTCAGTGTATGGCTCCTGCAAGAATTTGAGATAAATATAAAACTTGCGAGAAGATAATTTCCAAAATGGATGATGTTATATCATGTAATGATCTATTAATGGTAGCTGGTGGAACCAGGACTGATGAGCATTGGAAGGCAGTTAGAGGGATTCCATGGGGTTCCTAATATAAATTTTCTTGGGCTGAGAAGGCTACCTTGACCATGTTCATGCAGAGAGGATGCTCTGAAAATACCTGAAATTCACAACTGAAGAGTGAATTTCCAGCTTGAACGTAAGCTATAAAATGTCCTTAAATGGATCAACTCATTGACATACAGATGTTGCCAGTGTACGGTCAGTGGTTCCTAGATTAAGCAGAGCTGAGCTAAGAAGATTCCAAGAAGAATTAAAATTTCTGACCATTTTCTCTTTTCATTTGGCTATTGGTTTCTGTGTTTTGTTTTGATTCACTTGAATTACGTAAGTCTAAATGAAAAAACAAGTAAACAACTCGTGCTTAAGTTATCATCTTAAACAGCTAAACTTGAGATTCTTTCAGAGTCTAATTTGATTCAAAGATTCTGGACATGGACCCAAAGGCTTGTGATATCTATTAGAAATTCAGCAGAAGGAGGAGAAGTATTTGAAATGCGTAAAGCTCCAGGAGACGTAATTGAAAAACTTCCGGTGCCAAAAAATGTCTCTGAAGTCTTCAGATTGGCTTGGGACCTTCTTGTACTATAAAGACCAGAAAAGGCTATTTCTTAGTCCACTTCAATTTCTAGAAGATTTCTGTTGCAAATGAGGAAGTCGAATAAGTTCCAAACACTCTCTACAACTACCTGAAAGGCTGCTGTAGTGAGACAGGTGTTGGCCTCTTCTAGTTTTAGTCTTCTAGTAAGTAGCGATAGGACAAGAGGGTTTAGATATAAGGAAAAACTTCACTGAAAGGGTGGTGAATCACTGGAATGGGTTGCCAAGGGAGATGATGGAGTCACCATCCCTGGACGTGTTTAAAAAATGGTTGGATGTGGCACTGCAGGAGTTGGTTTAGTGTTATGGTGGTGTAGGGCTGTAGGTTGGACTTGATGATCTTAAGGTCCTTTCGAACCTTGATGTTTCTATGATTCTATGATTCTGCTACCTAAATGATAAAAACTTACCTTAATTTTGGAAACACTGTTGCCTTTTTAATAAAATGAAGTTGGCTTAGGTCTAGGATGCAGTTCCAGCTCATGAACAGATTATGCACCACACTTTATGCACAAGTATGTGCCATGTGGAGCAGACATGTTCCACACAGTGCTGTGGAACATCCTACTATGTTTCCAGCTGCCATGACAGAAAAGCACGAGTGTCCTGTTACAGGTGCGTTATCCCTAGCAGATAGGTACCATGGAGTGTTTGAGTTTAGTTCCAATTTGTTACAGAATTCCAAAATGGTTTTGAGTAGGTCCAATAATTGCTTTATGCTTTGATTTATGTTTCAGTAAAATTAGCATGATTGCCACTCAGAACAGGTTTGACGCCTTAAAGGAAAATTATGTGAAAATATGTGAATATGCATTATTACTCTTTTTTCTAGTGTACATCTCAAATCTAGTAAACACATATAAAAAAGCTTTCCCTTCAGCATGTGTAGCAAACTGACCAAATTGAGATATAATCCAGATGTGTGAAGCACAGACAGCTAAAATATCACTCAAAAGGGACCACAGGGCAAAGAAATAGGTGAAATGACTAAATGGGAAAATGTCTAAAATGGCTAAACTGAAAAACCGCTGATCACTTTTGATCCCTAATGTACTATTTGGGGATTGAGTGGTTAATGTAGGAAGGCTTAACTCTTTAGATATTAAATGCAGAACATTATGCAGCTCCCAAAATGAAAAAGAGTATAATTCTAAATGGGCAAAAAGCTACTGGCTGTGGAATAATACTCCGAGCCGAAATGAAGTTCTGAAAACGATCCTTTTAGCCTAATATATAGAGTGAATGTAAAATCAGCAATATGCTATGGAAGTCTACAGAAGAACTTGGAAGAGGTGATATTTCTTAAAGTAATGTTACTGTGGAACTACTGGTATTCAATTATTTAGGCAGCCTGACTTTTTATTATTGCAGCAAAAATATGTTGCCTCTCAGAAGTACTTTTAAAAGCTCAGAAAGTCATGCTTGTCTTGTTTATATTACTTGAGTGAGAGATCAATTCTGATTTATTGTCAATTGTTTCCATATCAGCCTTTCCTCAGATTTAGCTGTAGAGGAACACATTTTTGGTGAAAAACAAAGGGTTCTTTCTGCATGGCTTTATTTTCCTCTATATGAAGAGCACCTGTACCTATTCATCCTGCCTGGACCCTATGAAAAAAACCTTTCCACTTAGGACCTGTGACAGGGTAGGGCAAAAAACTATGACATCAAGAGTTGAGCCATAGAGGGAATCCAGTCAAAAGCTAGTGGGTGTATGTAGCTGCTCACTTACTGTACCTTCACCTTTCTCCCACAGGCCTAGCACCATATTTTTTTGTGGTAAAGGCTGACAGTGGCTTTTGTGTATTTTGTGTGTGTGCGTTTTCTTTTTCCTTTGTTTAAGTGTGCTTTAGTGAAAGGAAAATTTCAGAAAATGCTCTAATTTTTGTGGTTTAAACATAAAAGAACAGGGTATGTCCTTTAAAGTATACCACCTTGCTTTACAAAAGGCTCAGGTGATTACTTTCGGTTTGCTGAGTGCAAGTGGAAGTTGAGAAGGCATAGTGTATTCATGCTCACAAAAAAAGATCAATGTGATTACTTATCAGGGCCTTTGAAAGTTGAAGGATAAGACTGTCGGAGCAACTAAAAAGACTTAAATGTGTAATGCTTGACAATTACCAATATGATTTATGTTCCTAATGTTTGTAAACACTTTTAAAAACAGCAACCTGAATATCTGTATATTAAAAAAAAAAAAAGAAAGAAAAAGAAACAGAACTGGATATAAAGAGATAAAAAGAAAAAAGGTAAGAAACGTTAATAGCTGGTGCCAAACTGATGTTTTAAGTTTAATGAAATTTGAGTGAAAGAAAGCATGAAAGAAACACAGACGAAGTATAACTTGGAAAACGAGGAAAACGTGGTATAGAGTGTTCAGGTGAAGCATATGAAGCAGAAGGGATGAGACTGATAGCCTATTATGTTCATAACACTTTGAGACTTTCAGGATTTGCATTTTTAGCAGATGAAAACCCCTTTCTTCTCATTTCACCTCTTATGTCGACCTCTCATACTAAGGATATGTGCACCAAATTCAGCACCAGCCTTAATTACTGTGATTGCTGGGTCACTTACCATGCGATGGTCTTCCTTTGAGTTCAGAGTTACCAATATGCTTCTTTTTTTTTCTTTTTTTTTTAATTCTTATTTATTGGTCTGTTATGATTTTATTTCTTTTCCTGTATGGATGCGGAAAGTCTCTCTCATATGTTTATGTTTTATGTCTTCCATAAGCTTCCTGAGCCTTTGGTTTATTCCCTGCACTGGCAGTGGCTTAGGTGGTCTTTTCACCATTTTGCTTCATTGGTTTGCTGTCTCCATCAGTAGGATGGAATTGACGGTACTTGCGTGCTTTGTTCAAAGAAAGAATAAAGGGCTCTAGCAAAAAACATTTAGCGGTTAACACTAAGAAACTGAATGAATCACAGGTAATACAAACTGTATATTCTTAATTGTGTGAGAGGCCATCCCTTCAGAGCTTGTTTGGAATTGTCAGGGGAGAATTATGTCCCACTTCCACAGTAACAAGGGACATGAAGCAGGAAAGGAGATGAGGACTACATTAATTCCCTCATTATTGACCATCTGTATTATTAGTTCTTATTAATGGAAGGCTTGCTGTATCTTTCAGAACGTCTGAGCTGGTTCATATTTCTTACGTTTCTGCACCAGGTGGATTGCACACAATAAAACAGTTCGGTGATCCAGCTGTGAGAACAAAAATAAGAGAGTCAGGTCTCCAGGGCGGTATTCCTAGCAGCTCACTAACTCACAGTGAGCTCTTTAGGTGCAAACCTATTTGTTCTCATTTAACCATGTGTGCAGAGAATATCATAACAACTAACTGCCCTTGTAGGGATGTGATTAGGCTTAGATAATGCCTGTTTACTTCATCTTCATCCTTGGCAGGAAGATCTCCTGTAAGTGTGAAATGATGTTGTTATTTAGTTTATTTTATGACAGGAATCATATTTTTTATAAAGCAATCTGCAGTTCGTTCCCAAGCTGGCTGTAATGAAGGCAGAATTGATGGTTTACACACATGCTGTATTTCAGAAGAAACATTCTGTTCAAAATGCTAACATTTAGCATTGGTTATTCATTTATGTCAGTTGGTATGTTTTAATTTTTTCAAATTAGATTTTCTTGAAATATCATCTCCTTCATAAACAGTCATACTTGTTTCCTTCAGCACTTCTGAGGCAGATTGCAGAAATGGCTGTAAGTAGTCTTGTGGCATGTTTTGCAGTTGTTGAAACCCCATTTTGGAATGCTTTAGTTGGGATTGTTACTTTTAGACAGAATCTCATCATTATCATGATGAGAAATCCTATGCTTCTTACTCATTGCAGAAAGGAAATGGTTTTTTTAGGGGTCTGCAGTATTAAGTGTTTTTATCCACAAGAACTTTGCCAAGTCACCTCATATGCTGCTAAAAGATGTATACTGAAGAGAATTATCTTAGATGAT